CCAAGCAGAGAGATCGGAGAACCAGCGTTTTTAACCTGCAGATGACCACCCTATTCCACCACACCCCCCACACACACACACCCCCCCCCCCCACACCAACCACCAAACACACACCAAAGCAGGCACACAGGCAGGACACACTATCTCTCCTCCACGCTCAACCGCCACCCCACCCGAACGAGAGGCGAGCAAAGATTCAAGGCAGGAAGGGATAGGCTAATGCTATTGCTTTGTACAAATGCAGTCAGGTTTATGATCAGGACCCTTATCTATAATGCTGCTAACCCCCCATTTACGAAGGGAAGAGATGAACACCAGCTGCCAATCTTTTTGTTGTACAACAAGAAGGTCTAGGCAATGATAACCCTATTTATGGATTGGTTCCATAAATGCTTTGTCGCTCAAGTCAGAAAGTACCTTGTCAGTAAGGTATTAACTTCTTTTAATATTGCACAGAGCTCTCTCTGGCCACCAAGAACCCCATGAGTTCAACACTGAAGGTGTCCTAATGCAACATCTCTAATTCAGCCTCTAGATCAAGGGGTCATAAAGGAACTTTAAGGCTCATTATACATGATATTCTATGGAAAGGATTGTCAATGCTTTGGAAGAGAACTCTGGTAGAACGTCATGAAAGTCTGGAAGGATTACACCACTGAAGATACCATCAATGTTGTAGAAATAACCAATGAAAATCATCAACCCCAAAATAATCAATCCTTACAGGAGAAAACTGTGTCCAGATGTTGTGCATGACTTCACAGAATTTATGACAGAGCCAATCAAGGAAGTAATGAAAGAGATTGTGGATATGGCCACAAAAAAAAAAAAAAAGGCGAGTGAGGCTGGTTTTGAACTCCTGACCTTGAGCAATCCGCCCGCCTCGGCCTCCCAAGAGCTAGGATTACAGGCGTGAGCCACAGCGCCCGGCCTCCATATATTTTTTAGTTGTCCAGCTAATTTTATTTCTATTTTTAGTAGAGACAGGGTCTTGCTCTTGCTCAGGCTGATCTTGAACTCCTGAGCTCAAAAGATCCACCCATCTCAGCCTCCCAGAGTGTTAAGATTACAGGCGTGAGCCAAAGCACCTGGCCCTCAGTGATTTTCTTAAAGGCATCTGGAAACTTGCCTGCTACCTCTTGGTTGGTAGAAGCTACTTCTTTTATCCGGACATTTTTTAAGCCAAACCTTCTAGAATTATAAAACCATCCTTTTCTGGCATTGAGTTCTCCAGCTTTAGATCCTTTACCTTTATTTTGCTTTAAATTGTCATATAATGACTTTGCTTTTTCTCAAATCACATTAGAATCTATAGGTATGTTTTTCTCATAGCAATCCTGCACCCACATAAAGGTTGCGTTTTCAAAAAAGTGCAAGGTCTGTTGGTGTAGCTTCAGTGACAGCTTCAAGAATTTTTTTTTCTTTTTTAATGATGGTCCTTATGCTGGATTCATTTATTTTAGAATAGCAGGCAACTGCAACTGCAGACCTCAATCTACAATACGTATCAAGCAATATGACTTTTTCTAATGTCATGACTCTTCTCTGTTTCTTGGGAGTACTTCCAGCATCACCAGTGGCACTTTATATGAGTCCCATGATGTTATTCAAGGTTCATGGGATTGCACTAAACACAATAAAAAATACTCAAGGACCTCAAGAGATCACTTTTTACTGTGATATGCAATCTACTAGAAAGACAAACTACTCACACAGATATGAATAGCATCACACAACATTGTAAGTGTATACTTGCACGAGCTCACTGAAATAGCAATAGGAAGTATATATGAAATTATTATAATAGTGCAATATGTCCCACGGATAATTTTATGCAGTTATAATTTAATATTGCATTTTTACATTTCTTTATATTTCTCTAGACTACAAATGGTACCACATACAATCTTTGTTTATATGCATGTTTTGATATTTTAAGTGTTTATATTAAGTCTATATATATTTTATAGCAGTAAGTGATAAAATAGACTAGTATCTACACGTACTTTATGCATTCATGACATACCTTTTTCTTAATATTTTGGCATTTGCAGGCTATGTGGTTCAAAGTGAGGTTTTCCAAAGTGGCACAAATCTCTTGAAGAGTTTGCGATATATTTATGCCAAAAAATCCGTGTTTAGGGGGCTCGGCATGGTGGCTCATGCCTATAACCCCAGCACATTGGGAGGACAAAGCAGGATTGCTTGAGCTCAGGAATTGGAGACCAACCTGGGCAACATAGTGAGACCCTATCTCAACAAAAACTTTAAAAAAAAAATTAGCCAGGTATGGTGGTGCACACCTGTAGTCCCAGCTACTCAGGAGACTGAGGCAAGAGGATCACTTGCGCCCAGGAATTCGAGGCTGCAGTGAGCTATAATTGTACCACTGCACTCCAGCCTGGGTGACAGTGAGACTATCTGAAAGAAAAAAAAAAAATCCACATATAAAAGGACCCACACAGTTCAAATCCATGTTGTTCAAATGTCAACTGTATTCTATTTTTTTGGTGTTGATTACATAGGCATTGAGTTTGTAAAAAATGCATTCTATAATTTCATGTTATTTACTAAATTTTTGAACAGTAGATACTTTTTTTTTTTTTTTTTTGAGACAGAGTCTCGCTTTGTTGTCCAGGCTAGAGTGAGTGCCGTGGCGTCAGCCTAGCTCACAGCAACCTCAAACTCCTGGGCTCCAGTGATCCTTCTGCCTCAGCCTCCCGGGTAGCTGGGACTACAGGCATGCGCCACTATGCCCGGCTAATTTTTTATATATATATCAGTTGGCCAATTAATTTCTTTCTATTTATAGTAGAGACGGGGTCTCGCTCTTGCTCAGGCTGGTTTCGAACTCCTGACCTTGAGCAATCCGCCCGCCTCGGCCTCCCAAGAGCTAGGATTACAGGCGTGAGCCACAGCGCCCGGCCTTGAACAGTAGATACTTTAAAAAATCATAAACCAAAGCAATCACTATCCCTCTCCCTTTACTAGACTTCATCACTGTTCTCTCTTTCTAGAAGCTAAATGTCTTAATTCAGCTGTTTACAACTGTCATCTCTATTTTTCACCTCACATTCACCCGAACCCATTTCATATTGCCCCTAACGCTCCTCGCAAGTGACCCCTGCTATGGCCACTAATATTCTCCAAATTGTTAAATCCAATAGATATTTTTCAAGCACATCTTATTAAACTACTCAGCAACTATAACCAATAATCACCATTTCTTCCTTAAAATACTTTCCCTTGGTTTTTCAGGGATAATCTCCTAATTTTCCCCCACTCTCTTTAGTCACTCCTTCACCATTTTCTCTGCTGGCTCATCCTTTTCTGCCTAGTCTGTAAATACGGGAGTTACTCAAAACTAATTTCTAAACTC